GCTTTGAATATTGCTGCCGCATATGGTCTGGCGCTCCTGTTATATATTTAGAGATTCTTGATACCCCCCCACCCCAATAATCTGCAATGTTATTGGTCCTAACCTGGCATCTTCGTTACTTTGGTCACTTTCCCACAACAAAATGTAGCTTTCCTGTGCCTTTTCTATAAATATTTTCATGGTGGTTGTTCTGATGAACTTTTCTCTTTAATAGTTAGACTTTATGAAGTTAATCGTAGTACTAGATTGGAGTCAAGGTCTCATCCTTTTATAGTTTCAAATGGCTAGATGTAACCGTAAGTTCTATGTTAATAATTTTTTTCGCGCACTTCTCGCCTGTGGAATTCTCATCCGACTTCTTCATTTCGAGTCAAGTTTGATCTTTAAAAAATTTAAAGAAATGTCTATCTTTATATACTGTCTTCTTAATTCTTGTTCAATTATTATTCTAGCTCCTTCAGAATATTTTTCCTTTTCTTATATTCTTGCGTCTTAGTGGCTTTATTGCCTTCATTCTAAGAATTTTTTTTTCATTTGCTTAGGTGGCTCCTTTCTTTTGCTTGTTATTGTATCTGTATTAACGCAGAGCATTTGTAGATAAACGTTTTCAACACACACATTATCGAATGTGTGTTTTAAGTAACGTGAAACAATAATTTTAATTTAAAGTTCACATTTTAATACAAGTTTCATGTTTTGTGATCTGCTTGGTGATGATTAATACACTAACGGAAACATGCAGTTGCACAATAACAATGATAACGTTCTATACATCTTCCTCTCTTGAGTAAAAAAAAAGAATAACATAAAAATACGATAAGCATAGTCATTCGTCTGCCCCAAATTGATATCATTAGGGATTCATATATGCGCTAAAAAGATACCAGAATTGCTGATGTTATCCAGACATTCACTAAATATTTTGTGTTATAAAGATGACTGTTAGAAATTTGACGCCTACATTAGAAAAATATATAAGAGCGAAAACACTCATGGACTAATTATAACACGGGAACATTGTTGAAGAATCAGTCTGTATATAGATAATGTCAAATACAGCCAGGGTTAGAAGTGCAGGTTGAATAACAAGTGGAATTAACCGTGTAGGTTAAGAAGTCACAGAAATGACATCAATCATTTAAGATAAAGAAGTCTGAATTATTATTGTTCTTCTATTTGCCGTGCCCATTCAGGACGTGGGTGATTATGGTTCTCCACCACTTCAGGTCCTTTGTAGACCTTATGAAAGCTTCTCTTTTTATTATCTCTCCTAATGCATCTTCTGCCAACCATTTACACAAGCTCCTTATTGTCTTGTGATATTTCTCTGTGTCCTGCTTATGTCAATATATCAATATTTTTCCTATTTGCTCGTAATGTGCCGTAGAAATTTCAACCGTCTATTTCTGATGCTACGTATAAACGTTCTTTTTGTTTCCATTTTCTTTAAAATCCATGATATTCTCATTATCCTTCTGTAGAAACATATTTCAATTAACTCAAGTATTTTCTCCATCTGTGATACATAGGAGGACCCTTATTTTGGTTTACGACTCTTTTGCTGTCTTGGAAAGCATCTTTCGTTATCCCAATGCGTCTTCGGATTTCAATGTCGTATTTCTTGGAGGGATGTGTTGATTTAAACAATATTTTTAATGGATACCCGTATTTGAGTAGACGTTCCGATTTTTAAACAGTGATTATTATGTCTACCGGTATGCGTCCCTCTTTGTAGGAGAAACTACCGTACTTTATTTTCGATCGCTCGAACACAGTGGATGTCACAGTCCAGTAAGATTCTATTTATCCCTTTAAGAAATATGAACAATGCGATTTATAAGGAATTAACAGATTTATTTTTAAACCGATATGTTTAGTATATTGTTTATTACGATAGTTTCTTCTACAAAAAGTGACGCACGTTCGAAATCTGTAAATAAAAATAAACTACATTTAACATTTTAAGAAATCAGGGGCAGGTCTGACACACATCCATTTAAGTCAGAGTTTTCCACTGATGTGAGGTAACATATTTATTTGGACTGATGTGAGTTTGCATATATATATATATATATATATATATATATATATATATATATATATAAGGATAAAAGTGTTCAATATCAAGAATAGACCGCCTATAGATATAAAAGTGGACACTGCGGTCAACACCGAGGCGACAGTCTGACAGTCTGTTACAGTCTCTCTCTCTCTCTCTCTCTCTCTATATATATATATATATATATATATATATATATTATGTAATTGTAGAAACCTAGAAGACTGCCCATTAGAAAATAAATGCTGCATGAAATCTGTGGTATACCAATGTACTATATCATCCACTGAGAGTCCTAGTACTAATATGATATACATTGGGTCCACGAAGAATGATTTTAAAGATAGATGGAGGCAGCATAAGTGCTCTTTCAATAATATAAATAAAAGAAATCAGACTTCCCTATCTAAATATTTTTGGCATCTGAAGGAAATAAATAGGACACCAAAAGTAAAATGGAAAATTATAAACAAGGCTAGAACATGTAAAACTTGGGATGACCCATGCCCTTTGTGCCTCCATGAAAAATTGCACATTATTAAGCTTCTAAATAATAATAATCTATTAAACAATAGACATGAGTAAACGGTTTTTTGTCGACATCATCAAATTCATGGTTTGAATAATTAGCTAAAAACAAGCATACAATATAATAACTTTTATAATCCATAGCTCAAACAAATAGTTTAAATACCCTACAAAAAAGATAACCCTTTATGAAGTCGTCAAAAAACAAATGTTACGGCAGTTTTTTTTTAATATGCACAAATCCCTTTCATAAAGAAATAAAATAAAAAAATAAGTAAATCTCCATAGACACGTAAACCAGACTAGGCTAAAACATCTTCCGTTTCAAATTTAGACACCCCCACCTTACCCTGACTTGACATCTATGAAATTAACTCTATACTGACACTTATTATTAACACCCAACACCCGCCTACCCAACTTAAACAATTCGCCCTAGCTGTTACCATGGAAATTTTGATTTCAATTATTAAAACACGTAAATTTCAGAAATACGTTATTCCAAAAAAAAATTTCGCTTGAAGATGGAACAGAGCTTACTTTAACTCAATTTAATTCAAATAATTATATTGAAGTTTTCGGCTCTTGTTTTGAAACATGAGACCTCTTATGTCGCGAGTTGGAATCATATTTTTAAATAAATAATTATATTTATGCTCTACTATTGTATCGAGCACTATTTTAAAAAAAATAATAACTAAAATATTAAGGAACTTTGGATTATTTACCTAACCAGTTCTTTCCTATTTTCTATATATTTTCACACACACACACACACACACACACACACACACACACACACATATATATATATATATATATATATATATATATATATATATATATATATATATATATAAAAGTGTTCAATATCAAGAACAGACTGCCTATAGATATAAAAGTGGACACTGCGGTCAACACCGAGAGGCGACAGTCTGTTACAGTCACTTCTCTCTCTCTCTCTCTCTATATATATATATATATATATATATATATAAGATTCCCAACAGCTCGTGCGCATGTGTAGTCGTACCAACATAATAGATTTAGTCCCGATGACGTCCTGAAGGACAAAACGCGTAAACATTTTTCCACTTTGTCATATATATATATATATATATATATATATATATAGGCAGCATATATTCATTTAGGAATATTTCATTGAATAATATAGACATATTATGTCTACTTATTTTAATAATCATCCTTTTTAGTTAGCTTGTTGATGTTAAGTTGAAATTCATGAAAGAAGGTGCCGTAATTTTTGTTAAACCAAGTATTTTGATCTCCTCCAAGATCATCCTCAAGGGTGAATTGCGAAGACAAATGTAATTTAAGTACAATCGTTGTGATGGTAATTTTTGTAAACACGCATGTATGCGGCCTGTTATAATTATTTTAAAATTAACGGTTGTAGCTACCATGACTTTTTTTTTTGTAAACAATGTCCATAATATAAGCGAACTAACCAGACATGGTAAAAATTCAAATGGCTTTAAATGTTGGTGAAATACATTTTAAAACATTGCTACTATAGTCGTAATAAAATTTGTTCAGTGTTGGTTGCTTGCTTTTGGTATAGATGGCCTCGAGAATTTAAAGTTTTTATTTATTATTTTCATGGTGTAATATATTGGTGTTGTCAACATGTATTTGTCTGTATTGTGAAGGCGAACAGGAATTTGTTTTTAAATGTTATACGACAGAACTTGTATCCAACAAATAGAGTGAAAGATGTTATCAAACCAACATAGTGTTTGTCAGAGATTCAATCTCCCAAAGGATATTTAAACTGATATACAACGTGGGTCTTTTCCAAAACACTAATTCACGTAATTGCGTCTGATTAAGTTGGTTCTCCTAAATTCAGTATAATATATAATTAGTTTTATTTTTGTTACTGGGAACAGTGGGGAATATATTAGTACTTATGAGATTTTTTAGGATTTTTAAAATCTGGTTTATAGTTAGAATGCATTTGATTGAGATATAATAGGTTGATATGTTTAGGGTTATTTGAGGAATTTTAAATTTTAAATGTGTAATTATTGTTTTGCTTTATACGTTTTTTCTATCCTTCTTACTTTTTACTAATTTTTTTTTAATGTAACTTACCAGCATCACATTTAACACACTACTGTGCAATTTTATTTTTGTGCTACGTAGCGGTGATACGCCCATAAGCCATCTATTTACTTTTAACAGCATAGATATTGTGCCTAATGAGCGAAACTTTAGTCACACACCAGAACGTAGGTAGACGGATATGTACTAATTAATATATATCTTTGCTCTGTATAACCACATCGAGCACTATTATGTTTACACCTAATGTATAATTTTGACGATTATTTACTTGCTTGACTGCCTATACACACCGGCACGCTAGTATACCCTTGTCTATATCTAGCCGTTTGATCTATCTATCTATCTATCTATCTATCTATCTATCTATCTATCTATCTATCTATCTATCTGCCTGTCTGTCTATCTATCTATCTATCTATCTATCTATCTATCTATCTATCTATATCTATATATATATATAAGATTAACTCCACCGGTAAAACCATTATGAATTATGGTAATTAATAGGTAATTCTTTCAAGAATTAAATTTTGTTCTTTAAATGTAACGTCATATTTTTCATTTTGTCACTCACTTACCAACTACTAGTCTGATATATAAATTTATATGAGCACGCTTTTTAAAGTGATGTGTAAAAAAAATGCTACACTAAAAAGTGTCAGACATGGTGTTTTAGTCATTATTTGTTTTTGTTTTGTACTAATTCCGTCGTCTTTGATGGTTTCATTATCTCAACTTGTCAAGTGAGTCGCATAGTAACGTGTACAATGCGACTCAGTAGTTTTTTCTGTCATACAATTTTTATTCAATCGGTATTGGAAGGCAATAAAGCCACTAAGACGCGAGGAGTGTTACAAGGTGTGGTAAAGTTAAGAGCAGAAAAATTAATAATGATCAGCAAGAGGAAAGAGTAATCAGACTGTAGATAGCGATTGACATTGTGTTTAAATTTTTGCGATTGGCATTGCATTTAAGGTTTTGCAGATTAAAGTTGGAAATGAGTTTCACAAGCGAGAAGTGCGAGAAATTAAAATGAAATGCACTCCGAACACATGAATTGAATTAACTACATTTACGATGAAACCAGAATCGAACACAATGAACGTAAACTTTATAAAACAAAAAAACAAAAAAAAACAAAAAAAGATATTTGATTCATAACATAAATTTAAGCGATTTTCACTGTTCAAATAATTTAGATAATATTCCCAGTTTTATGAGTTCTTAATTGTTAGGATTCTTATTTGATCTTCATCCAAAGACTTCTGCAATTAAGAAATAATTATATTTACATGAGAGCAAGTCGGAAAACAGAAACGTTACAATTAGAGTGCAAACAGAAACCCGATCAATTACACAGCGTGCTTTCACTAAAAATCTAAAGGCCGAACAAAAGTTGATTATTTAATATCAGCAATATTTGCTAAACTGATCATTGTAAAAGAAACGCCAATGTGCACATTGATTTAATTTGCTTTATTTGGCTTCCAGATTATTTTTGTTCTTCTTCCTTATATATATATATATATATATATATATATATATATATATATATATATATATATTTTTTTTAATTCTTCGCCTTTTGAACTGATGAATTTGAATGATATAAATTATTGATAGTTAATTCTAATATTTTACGCAACAATAATTAAATAAACATTTTAAGACAGAATTTTGAGTCATCACCACGAGACCTTGAAATATTCAACGGTCAGAATATCTCCGCACCTGAAAATTATATAAACTGCCTGAAACAAGTTGTGCTATCGACGTTGGATATATATATATATATATATATATATATATATATATATTGCGGTTACTGACTTATTTTTTTAAATTATCTATCTATTGACATCTATCTATGTGTGTATATTAACGTATATTTCTTTCGAGTATCTTTCATTGAAAACGCCCGACATGAAAGAAACCTTTAACAAGCTTTCTACACCACTAAACAGTAGCAGGGAACCGTTAATTAATAAATAATGCTTCCCTAATAATGAGATATTTACGACTATGTGATGTAAAAATAATTTTTTTCATCGTTATCCACTAGAATTTACCTTAAAGGTTCTTGTAAATTATGGTTTAATAAATGTTTATTAATCGCATTCTGCTTCTAGAGGTGGCATATAAGACGTCTACTTAAGGAGGTAGTGGTGAGTCTGATATAGATAATTGTTTTTTTAAAAAGTAACACAGTCTTGTATTCGGTACTGGAATTGGTACACTATAGTGGTCACTGCTTGTTTAGATTTGTGTGACGTCGTCCCCCGGTCGCAGCGTCGACTGTGTCGTTCGATCCCGTTCGCGGCGCCAATTGTGACGTCACGTGCTCCCCAGGCTCTGATATCCTGGTCACGGACAGCACCAGTTGTGACGTCTTTTGCCGCGGCGTCAGCTGTTCGCTCCTCGCTGCTCCAAACGTGACGTTCTAACCCTTTGGTTAGATTGATACCAGCCTCGTCGTTCCCAACCCGCTTCCAACGCCTGGTTACCAGGGTAACTGCACTGATCTCCGGTCTGCCTACCCACGTTGTGAATTGATCTTAGACAGACGAGATCAAACAGGGCTTGGGGCCGTAATGCAAGTTGAGTCTAACACAATTATGCATTAAAAAAAATATATATAAAATAAAAACTCACAAGGTCCAACGTATCAAGAAAAAGGTAACAAACTTTTTATGTCTATTTGCTCGGTACATATGAGTATGTCTACTTCCCGACCCGTTCTGTGGATTGTGGCACGACGCTTTTACTAGGCAACTTTAAGGCTTCCAGTTGTCTTCTCTCTAAGAAATTTGTGTTTCGGTGTGTCCTTGGACGAAAGTCGAAAAAAACTTATTTCTGTGGTCTGATTCTAAGTCGCTCTTCAAACTACTTGTTCTTGGTTGAAGAAGAGTCCAGAAGTGTGCGTGAATCTTGGTCAGCTATCTTGACGCGGTTTCAACACTGGGCTCTCATCTCTGCTTGTCGTCCACGGCTCAAAACTCTTTCGCCGTCCGCTGCTCAAACTCCAACTCAAACTGATTTCTGTCGGTTGGGGTCCCGCTTTTATTGACGCAGTCAAAACTGGGGTGGGTCTGTCGGCGCCAGGGTTTTTTCGATAATTCTAAATACGTATCCACCCTTCTTATTTCTGGTTAGGGATTTTCCATTTTCGGTAACTCACTTTCACTCCCACTTCCTTACTGTACCTCTGAGGGGCGTATACCCGCTTCTTTCGCTTCTTCGTATCGGCTCCTTACACTTCCACTTCTGACAAGGGCGTCGACCGATTCTCCTCGTGCGTCAATGAGGTCCTGGTCGGGCATCCCTCCTCCTCCTTCGTGTGTCATGTGATCTTATTTAGCCAATGACGTCTTTAGTCGGGTGTGGACAATCCGTGGCTTTGTTTTGGGGAAAGAAACACCTTGCTTAAAAAAAACAAAAATCTAAATCGCCCTTATCATGAGCGACTGCGATGACACCTTCGGCTTTTTAACACGTGGTATTTGTCAAGCAGTTTATCGCTAATTGGATATGATCTAAGAAAGGAATTTCTCAGACCTTTTGGCGTTTTGGAACGAAATAAAAATATTTCATTTTCCCCCGCTTGAAGGGCTGATAATAAAAATCTTTATTATCTCAAAAAAAAAAATTTTCAGCGACATCGTCTTGTGTGGCTTTTTCTAATTCTCGCCGTCCGTCTGTGTTTTCGTATTAATGGTTTGCTTTCATATCCTTAGATACACTTCCCCACCCACTTAGACTTTTACTATCATCCCAATGACACACTTTCCACTTGTTACTTATCAATATTTTTTTTCCATTGTCCCTAAACTTCGTTTCTTCAACCAATTGATAACAACTTCCATTTTCCCCAGATCTCGGTTAGATGCTGACCTGGATATTTTTCGACACCTGTTATCTGTTATCGTATTATTTTTTCTCTCTTTCTTCTTCGTTTTCTCTTTCCTTCTTCCAGATCGCTTGAACGTAAAGAAAGAATTATTCTTAAAACCCGAAATATTTTTCGGCCCTAAATAATTATTAAATGGTTGATAAACCGTAAAAAACAAATCATATATTTATGAATATTTCTTTTCAGCTCGCCAGGTATGCATGGTGTCACATTTGGTGGGGTTATTTCGGTTATTGACAACGAGGTATGCGGTATCCCATTTTCTATAATATATTATAAACTTTATATGCGTGTTAAAGGTTTTCTAAAAATAGAAGTGATGCCCAGGTTATCCAGTCGTGCATAACACGTGACCACTGAAAAAGGCATACACTCCTTCGCAGATCTTCACACAGCTAACCTACTATGTAGAAGACAACACATAAAACTCACCATAGCAAAACAACATCCTTGATAATGATTATAGAACTAGCCAAAAGTTCATAGAATAATAACAACTATGGACAATTTTTACATTCTTTAACCCCTGAAAAATGGCAAAATGTTAGAATGCTGGAAAAACTCAATAAAAGATTAATTAAATGTTTCTTGTCAGGCGTTTTCAATAATACACACACACACACACATACACACAAACACACACACACACACACACACACACACACACACACACATATATATATATATATATATATATATATATATATATATATATATATAATAGTACGCCTGAACATTATATGTTACTACTACAAAATTGCATATTTTGTTTCGACGTTTAACACTCCTGATAAGGTAGTTAACAATGAAGGTAATTGTTAACTGCCTGATGAGAGGTGCTAAACTTCGAATGAAAATATGCAATTTTGTAGTAGTAACTTACATGTTTTAATCTAACAGTTTATAATCAATTTTTATCGTTCTACTCTTGTGTAGAACCCTTTTTAAATGAACGTTATAAACGTTTCAATGTTATACTTTTCGTTCTTTTTTACATTTGGATATATGTTTTATTTATATCCATTTATATATTATATATATATATATATATATATATATATATATATATATATATATATAAAAGAAAGAACAATAAGATATATAATCCGGTATTCTTATAGAAAAAAGTTACTCCAAAATTCGCTTGAGGGTGAAAGGGAACTAATGTCTTTAATTTAATTACGAAATTAAATTCGGAACTTTTAGCTTCCATTTTTGAAACATGGTTAGAACTGTGTAGCGAAAAAAAACATATTTTAAATCAATTAATTTATAATATATATATATATATATATATATATATATATATATATATATATATGAAGATGATGAAATAAAATGTAATTTATTTTGTTTTATTAAAGATGTGTTTCGCTTAAGAAAGCTTATGTTCTGTTTGGCATCATTAGTTTTACTTTTCCGGCGAAACGTGCTTTTGATAAAAAAATAATTTCATTTTATCTCATCATCTTCAAACACACACACACACACACACACACCCACGCACGCACGCACACACACACACACACACACACACATATATATATATTAAATGATGCAGTTTAATTAATATTCCAAAGAAGTAGTCATATAGGGAATAAATCAATAAAGTTAATGTAATTAATGGTGAATTATTCTTTATATGTCTACTTCTTTGTAATATTAATTATACTACAGCATTTAATAGATTTAAAATGACTAATTCTGCAGTGCAAAAATTCGGTAAAATTATTGGGACATCTTTCTAGTTATTGGATTACTTGATCCATGCCATATTGACTGATAAAACGTTTACAACAAAAGAATTCTTGGTATTGCCATATTAAAAAAAAAGTTCTTATTTAAAATTTTCAACTACAACTCTTTTTTGTTTTGTCAGTAATCCGGCGTCATCAGTACAATTTAATTTTATCCAATCAAAATCTACATTGCTGAAACGAAAGGTATTTTTCGTTAAGCGTGTAAATTTTCAATTCTAAATTAAACTATATTTTTATAGAAGTCCGATATTAGCTAATGACATTCAGTTTATTTATTATCCCATATTGTCTTAGTACTACTTTAGTAAAAATTGGAGATATATATTTAAAGCCCATAATCGTATATTAATTGTGAGAGACAGAATTTTCTATTTATCTTCGCCTGAATAAATTATGTTTACTTAAATTATTATATATAAAAAGTCGCATTCCAGGTCGGCATTGGCGGCTTTATTTCTCTACTTTGGCTGATAACGTGTTTGGATGTCATCGAAATCGACTTCAGCAATAATTTGTCGAACGTTGTATTACACAATTATATGAAGGCAGGGTGTTTTTTTTTTTGTTTTTTTTTTTTATATAACTGAACACATGTTGATACCTATTTTATTCCCGATGTGATTCTTTTGCGACACCATTGAAGAAGTGGACAGGGTTTTTTTGGGGGGGGGGGCGTAATTTGAATTCTGGCTTGAAGCAGACTGACCTTTAGTTCTAATACCAATCAACCATTTTCACTGATTCTTGATGACATGCTTGGAATAACATTTATTGTGATCTATGCAATAGACGCCATGTAGAATGAAACCATTACCCTGACCTTGCCTTGATCACAGCGAGTGTATCTTACTGCATGAGAGCACACAAACGGGTCTACGTGTGGGGGAATGTTCATTTGAACATTTTTGCCAAATGCAACGTACCACGAACGGCTGAAGTCCAACATAGGCAGTGATTTTTCGAAATGACCATCCAGCCTTAAGAAGATCCATAATACGACCCTTCACAAATAACTCTTATGGAATCAGAAAAGCACGTCTACGTCAACATGATATCTGCTTTCACTGTGCTTATTCACTACGCTGAATCCTGTGTCATTTAAAACTCATCGAGATGAATGTGATGATGTCAAAGATGGCGGAAGTCTGGATATTTTTTCACGTTCATAAGAATTTACATCCACGTTACATTTTGATTTACAGCCAGTGTATATACGGGTGAGCCAAAGTTTTATTCAACTACATAAAACGACGATTTTATTAAGAAGTTTTAATTCTTTAGCAGTATAATTTTTTCAGAATTGCCTGTGGACATTGTGAATTAAAAAATAAGTTGTTGGCATTTTCGAAGTAGACTTATAAAAAAAGATACAGCGCTTGAAGCTGAAAAAAAGGGCAGTACGATTTCTTGGATGAAGATATTCAACTTTTGGAAGACTGGCCGACTAAATGTTCTGATCTCAATATAAGTGAAACACTGTGGAGGGAATTGAAGAAAAACGTGGTTGGGATTACCGCCAAGAAGAATGGGGAATTACCCCCAATAAGAAGTGTTTCATTATCTATCTATCTATCTCTATCTATCTATCTATCTATCTATCTCAGCCTCATATCTATCATCCTGTTCATATCTATCTATTCAGATATATATCTCAGTTCATTATCTATCTCATTTTCATTATCTATCTATCTATCTCTCTATCTATCTATCTATCTCAGTCTATTCAGATCTATATATCTCAGTTCATTATATATCTCAGCCTTTTTCATTATCTATCTATTATCTCATTCAGATCTATATATCTATTCATTATATATCTATTTTCTTATCTATCTATCTATCTATCTATCTATCTATCTATCTCAGTCTATTCAGATCTATATATCTCAGTTCATTATATATCTCAGCCTTTTCATTATCTATCTATCTATCTATCTATCTATCTATCTATCTATCTATCTATCTCAGTCTATTCAGATCTATATATCTCAGTTCATTATATATCTCAGTTTTCATTATATATCTCTATCTATCTTTTCATTCTCTATCTATCTATCTCAGTCTATTCAGATCTATATATTTCTTCATTATATATCTCATCTATCTATCTATCTATCTATCTATCTATCTCTTGCGAGAATATGAGGTGTGTCGGTCCTTGACTGTATTCATTTATCATACCATATATAATAATAAGATCGTTTAAAGGGATGGCAAAACAGGGAATGGGAGGGAGAGTAAAAAGACAAACATCTCTCAGAGGTAAAAAAGGATGGGATGTAGTGGAGAGTCATAATCATCCTATCTAACAAGCTCGTTTAAAAGGACGACAAAATAGGCTCATGAGAAGTATAGTAAAAAGACAAACATTGTTAACAGCTACAAACAAAAAGAATTAGTGGAGAGCCATGATCGACCACTTCCTGAAGGGAAACAGCATTTAGATGAAGATGAAGAAGTAGAACCTGAGAGAATCTAAGGACAAAACAAATTCATAAATAATGGCTTGCGAGATTGATCTTACAATTGCTCGAAATAGTGAGATGCCTATCTAAATCCATTGACGTCGATGCTCACTGGGCAATCAACAAAAGTGGCAGGCAGGTTGCAGCCTAGAGAAGATGGCGTGCGTTTTTTTTTCTCTAAAACTGCTCTAGGGCAGCTGTCCAACAAAATGTGTAAAGTTAATTATTTAGGAAATGCTTGACGTCACTGATGTTTTAGACGCTACAGAAACCATTTTCAGTGAACCAATTTTCAGAAAGACAGATTTTCTGATACAAGAAATATCCATTAATAAATTTCCTTAATGCATTCACTTTACTCGGAGTAATTGAAGATAGTTTCCAGTTTGTAGAATAAGCTTTATTTAAATAAGACGTTTACTAGTTTTAGTGTGATCATAAAATACTTGACAAGTTTTAGTTGAGTAGATTTGACGAAGCGCCGGATTTTAACGGCCGAGAAAAATATAATAAAATTATTTGAAATTTCTGTATTTCTTTTTCTTAAAAGAATTTTGTCATATTTCTGTGTTACTTGATTTGATAAAAAATGTGTAAACGGAATATTTTGCGAAATTCAGTTAAAGTTTCATTACTAAGATCCAAGGAATAGAGATGTTGAATTTGAAAGCAAGGAATTACATCGAAACAGGGATTATCATGGAAAAATAAGACACAAATATAACTCGATAAATAAAAAGAAACTGTGAATAAAATAAAAGGATCTTTTGGGAGGAAGCTGCGAATGGGAAAAAAATGTTTCATATCTATCTATCTATCTATCTATCTATCTATCTATGTCTATTCTATCTATCTATCCTATCTATCTCATCTATCTATCTATTATCTATTATGGGATCTTACCCATAATAATAATAATGGACTATTCCATACTTAATAAATACTGCGCCTCAGAAGTAGGCAAGGAGTCTGTCGCTCAACTCTTGAGCGAACGGTTCGGTTTAACTCTGCTTTCGGGCGGGAAGGAAGGCTACGCCGAAGGGCGGAGTCTCCTTCGGGAGGTAAAACCGGCCCTGAACCCGTTTATACAGGTTCAAATGGGCTATTTTTTTTGGCCGAGCCTAATGGCTCGGGAATGCCCACGTTAAAAAAATACTTGTGCCACATGACGCCCTCGTGGGGGGACGACTAAATATAGTCTGTCGCTCAACTCTTGAGCGAACGGTTCGGTTTAACTCTCTGCTTTCGGGCGGGAAGGAGGCTACGCCGAAGGGCGGAGTCTCCTTCGGGGAGGTAAAACCGGCCCTGAACCCGTTTATACGGGTTCAAATGGGCTATTTTTTGGCCGAGCCAAATGGCTCGGAAATGGTCACGTTAAAAAGGCCTTGTGCCACATGACGCCCTCGTGGGGGGACGACTAAATATAGTCCGTCTCTCAAGTCTTGAGCGACGGTTCGGTTCAACTCTCTGGCTACGGACGGAGAGGAACCCGAAGGAGGCTACGCCGAAGGGCGGAGTCTCCTTCGGGGAGGCTCGGCCCTGAACCCGTTTATACGGGTTCAAATATGCTATTTTTTAGCCGAGCCCACGGGCTCATGAAATGCCCACGTTAAAAGGCCTTGTGCCACAATGACGCCCTCGGGGGGGGGGCGACTAAATATAGTCCGTCGCTCAAGTCTTGAGCGACGGTTCGGATCAACTCTCTGCCTTCGGGCGGGAGGAACCCGAAGGCTACGCCGAAGGGTGGAGTCTCCTTCGGGGAGGTAGAAGGCCCTGAATCCGTTTATACGGGTTCAATGGGTATATTTTGGCCGAGCCCACGGGCTCGGACGTGCCCACGTTAAACCGGCCTTGTGCCACATGACGCCCTCGTAGGGGACGACTAAATATAGTCCGTCGCTCAAGTCTTGAACGACAGATCGGTTGAACTCTCCGCCTTCGGGCGGGAGGAACCGATAGAGGCTACGCCGAAGAGCGGATTCTCTTTCGGGAGGTAAACCGACCCTGAACTCGTTTATACGGGTTCAATGGGCATATTTGCTCTCCGAGCCCGTGTGCTCGGAGAGCCCACGTTAAAAAGGCCTTGTGCCATATGACGCCCTCGTGGTGGTGGGGGTGACTGAATATCGTCAGTCGTTCAAGTCTGAACCGACTGTTCGGTTAAACTCTCTTCCTACGGGTGGGAGGAACCTGAAGGAGGCTACGCCGAAGGGCGGAGTTTCCTTCGGGGAGGTAGACCGGCCCTGAACCCGTTTATACGGGTTCAATGGGCATATTTTGGCCGAGCCCACGGGCTCCGGAATGCCCACGTTAAAAAGGCCCTGTGCCACATGACACCCTCGTGGTGGTGGTGGTGGGGTGACTGAATATCGTCAGTCGCTCAGGTCTTGAACAACAGATCGGTTGAACTCTCTGCCTTTGGGCGGGGAGGGACCCGAACGAGGCTACGCCAAAGGGCGGAGTCTCGTTCGGGGAGGTAAACCGGCCCTGAACCTGTTTATACGGGTTCAATGGGCATATTTTTGGGCCGAGCCCACGGGCTCGGAGAGCCCACGATAAAAAGGCCTTGTGCCAAATGACGCCCTCGTGGGGAGGTGACTGAATATCGTCAGTAGTTCAAGTCGAGTCAAGAGTCGAGTCAGAGGTAGTCTGAAACAGAGTCGCTTTCAGACTACATTGACATTGGAATAATGATACTGGTCGAGACTACATTGTTCTCTCTACTACACCTGATTGTTCATACTAATACTTCTACTTCTCTGTATATATTCCTGTTTGTAATATATCTGTGTTATTCCATACATGTGTTTGAGTTCTTCTTTATTGGTTCTACCTTGGACTATCACCGTGGTACAAGGAACTGGACCATAACACTATCTATCTATCTATCTATCTATCTATCTATCTATCTATGTCTATTCATATCTATCTATCTATCTATCTATCTATCTATCTATCTATCTATCTTCTTGAATAGAATGCATCCTACCTTCATCTGTGTTTTTGTTTCGGTAAAATAGATGTTCCAATATTGATTTTCAAGTAGTATTCACGTTTTCCTGTAAATATTGCGAGATTGCAAAGACGCTCGAGAGAAGAGAGACATAGACAGCGATGCTCAGGACGCTGTTTTATAAAATGATACAAAATCGAATTCATTAGCAACAATCATCTTTTATTTACACCTTTTACGCCACACCGGTTCCAAACTGAATAGAGAGAATTATCAATACTTGATATATATATATATATATATATATATATATATATATATATATAAAAAAATATAGTCTTAAGATGTGTTATATTTATGGGATAAAGTGCTTAATATCAGAGATAGAGCATGTGTAAATATAAAAATTGAACATAAAGTCAACACTTAGAGACGACAGTCTGTTTCATGCTAGATGCACTCGTCAGGCCTGACGATTGCAAAATATGCAATCTAACATGAAAGTTTTGACTTCTATGTTCATTTTATATATATATATATATATATATATATATGTGTGTGTGTGTGTGTGTATCATTTTACCAAAATATGAGAAAAAGGACAGTAACTAAGCGACAGAAGAAAAGCAAGAAGTGCAAGAGAAGAAGCAATTAGTATAGAATTTACGATTACATCTAGCCATTTCGACTGTAAAATGATGAAACCTTACCACCAATACTACTCGAAAGATACTTGATCGCCTAAGCGTGTATCACGCATGGCATATGATTGAGTGCTACTGTATCACTTTTTTTACAAAACTTGTAAATAAATTAGTCAACCCTAATACTAGGATCTTTACCACCACGTCCAAGACAATTGGAGATAAAATTAGGAAGAAAAATAAATCCAATACCAATTCAGATTCCGGTACTTATCAATTAAATTACTTGTGTGCGTTAAGCTTGTGTGGTGGTGACAGGTAGTGAGAAACAGTCCTGAACAGTTTTATTGTTAAACGCCAATGATGTTCTCATTCACCCCATCCCAATGATTCACTTTTACATCTTGTAAGGAATATTATTTTATTTGGGTAATGATTTATAACTTACAACAATTAAAAATAATTTACAAAATGGACATATTTTTGCGTTTATAATTCTTTCACTTTGATTAATTATTCAGAGATGAAAAGAAGATTTTACATTGGCTCAGAGAATTGGCAACATTGAGGATTCTTTCTTTTAAATCGTAGCAAAGAATTTCACAACTTCAAACTTGCGAAGGCACTGTTACACTGCAAGATTTGCCACCATTGACGTATTAACACTTCAGCATTAAAAATACTCTTTAAAACTTTAAGATACAAATATCTTCAGCGGACATTTCTGCCCTGGAGGTATTTAAAAAAAAAAGTACTGTTGAAAAGGTGAACATTTTGTTTAGATTATTTACATTGTTCGAACTGTTGTCATCATCCTTATTGCATTATTTTCGATGTTTCAGCCATTGTACGCTCCGGCCTTCTTCAGGTGATTGGAATTTCGAACTAAACCATTTATTTTGTCCATTTTTGTGAACATTTTGAAAAACCACTTTTGCTGAAGTTGTACTCCTAATTTGATAAAATAAAATTTAACAACGCACAATTTGATCCTTGTGATTTGTTTTTCCTGGAAAATATGTATGCCTTTTCTGCCACACTGTCCCCCTAATAAATTTGGGTGAAAGTGATTTTGGTTTTTGTAGGAACATCCATATACTTAAGAATATCGGTCAAACATTGTTTTTAAACTGTAAATTTTTCTTTTGATGAACTTGATTTTGAATAGTGTAATGCTTAGTTAATTTATTCAACTAGCGTTCTTAAATTGAATGAAATATTCCATAAATTAGCCTGAAAAGATTATTATTCAATATTAATTTCTCCAAATAGCTCACAATTGGCATAAAGCGAGAAGGGTCATATCAAATTAATGCTCAAATATACTGTCAGCAATTAGAGCGTTTGAACCAAGCTTTGAAGAAAAAAAGACCTGCTCAAGTGAATCGAAAAGGGGTGATGTTTCATCAGGACAATGCGCGACCCCACACAGCAAGAATCACGTCACAAAAGATCGAACTGGGTTGGGAGAAAATTCCTCATCCACCTTATTCTCCCGATTTTGGTCCTTCAGACTACCATTGGTTTCGTAGCTTACAGAATCATTTGGAAGAAACAGCTCTTGTAACACAGGAAGAGGTTAAAACTGACATTTGTGAGTTCTTCGAATCAAAGCCAAAAGAATTTTACAGTAATGGAATTAGTGAGCTTGTTAATAGATGGAAGGAAGTTATAGATAATCAGGGAAAATACATTGTTGATTGAATCTGTAATTAAATATAACATTTGGTCACTTGTTTTCTTTACTCAAAATTCAGACAGAACTTATGGGATGACCTGATACATTGGCTCAGAGATTTTTGTGAAATTATTGTGAAATATGAAATTCTCAGAAATCTAACCTCAATATTCAAATGAAGATATTGCAAAGTTGTTTTTTTGTTCAATAATATTATTATTGATCTGGGAGATTTGTTTTGTAGCATGCATGAAAAGATTGTTTTTTTAAAATGAAATTTCTAAAAATATTCTTCCCGTTTCAATTATTCTACTCACTTCCCATCAGCATAAATAAAAATGAAGAAATGAATTTGAAATTTTGTGGTTTATTGGGCAACCATAAACTGTGTAGATTAGGTAGAAATACAATTGAGAATTTATTGATGTAACGTATTTAAGCGCAATATTAGATTGGCAAAAAGCTTTCATTATTTTACAGTTTATTTGGCCATATATAACCGTAAGTTTTGTATTGATAGTTTCTTTGCTCACACTTCTCGCTTGTGGAACTCACTTCCGGTTTCTTGACTTTCAGTCAAAATGTAAATGCAATGTCAGCCGTTATCTTCTTTTACTTTTTAATTCCTGCTATTCTTCTCGTTCGTTAATAATGTCTTGTTTTTTTTTAATATTATTTCACACTTCTGTCTTAGTGGCATTATTGCCTTACATTTCCATGACTAAAAAAAATGAAATTAAGCGAAATCATTAGAAGTGAAGATGGTTTTTACTGAAATATCCAATACACTTGGACAATTACTATAATTCCCAATTTTTGATAATTCTCTCTTTCTTTTAGTTCCACATATTCTCAAAGACAGCTTCTATTGTGATCCTACACTTGTTATAAATTTTACTGCTAATGTCCCGATCCTAAAAGTGTTAATTTTTAAAACTGTTTTCATAGAATAAATTTTGGGGTTTTTCTAATTCTATTTGTTCGAAACTTAAAAAAAGGTTATTTTTTTTTAATAATGATCTTTTTCAGTGTTGTATAACAATTCTTGTGGAGAAAGTATATTCTTTTTTATGTCCATCAACGTACGAATTAATATCATTATTGGAATTATTTTCTTATGTTGACTAGTCCTGATTCACAATTATTTTTAAATCTTCCTCATTTATGACGTCAAGACAAAATCAAACTGCTTATTTAAAAAGATAAAAAAGTAAAAACATAAATTACAATCGATTTTTTTTAAACTGATGAATAAATATGATTTTGAATGGATTAAGAGAATTGTTTGTCTCCAGTAAAATCATTATTCCAGTGAAACATTTAATGAATAGCCACAAATACATTTTCCATGCGATAATTAGATTAAGAAAATTAAAGTCGTCTTTGTATGAACGTTGAAGATTTCAAAAAAAAACAAAAAAACAAACTTTAAATTGATAACTTCTGTTTACTTAATTCCTTTAATAGAAATAATTTGGCATCGTTGTCTCTGTAATACGCAGAATATCGTTGAATCGCAATCAGATTGGCTCGAAATAAACGTTGTTAATTTGACAATTTCCAGCAGACTGGCACCGTCGGATCTTGGAAATTGAATATCTCTTATTAACGTTGTTTTCAACAATAAATGTGTATTTTTGCTTTGTACTAAGAAATTTGCGTGTGTATCAGACGTTAAAATTTGATTTTTTCTATGCAATTCTCTTTTTCCTCACTTTTCGTTTTTGCGTAAATGCTCTTGTGATAGGAAATTTATTTCTCCATCATCTTTCTGTTAGATAGAGGCGTATCTAATTGAAAGTATTTTTGACTTGGTTGGCAGCCAGTCTAGGATAAGCACAACTCTGAATTCAAAACCAGTTGGATGTTTGGTTAGTAAGTCAACCCAGTAAAACCCACTTTCTTCTGAAACTACAGCATTACCACTTAGTGTGGTTTGGCCATAGACTCCACAGAGGATCAACAGGTTCAAAAAGAGAAGGATTATATGACCGCAAAAAAAGAGAAAAGTTTTCCACCCATTCACAGGCTCAGTAGATCAAAGACCCGCCCAGAGCCGAACATGATTTCTCTTTCATATTTTATCTACGTTTGCCGATCTTTTTGACTTTCAAAAGACGTGCTGCTAAGAATGCTTAAAATAGCTAATATCCAACAGGAGGTCAGGTATAAAAGGTATTGATTTTCAAATGGTTAGAAAAGGGACATGGTTTATGAGTTTTTAAAGAAGAATTTTGAAGTGAAACTCTATGCCTTCTTTCGGAGAGTACAGAGCTGATTATAAGAAGAGATTTACGTTCGACGATTTTCACTTGAGTTGACATCACGAGCCCGAGTGTATTTGAATTGGCTGGCGTATATCCAGGTACATATTTAGCCCCAGTACAAATCCATCGGTTGTTTCGGAGAGACATGATATATATATATATATATATATGTGTGTGTGTGTGTGTGTGTATTTGTAAGCAAATCAAATGTGGATTATATATATATATATATATATATATATATATATATATATATATAATGTTATATACGTAAATGCATATTTATATGCAAACAAGAGTTCAGTGGAAATCAATAAAAAAGCGGCGTTCTTTAAGAGAGTAAGAATAAAAACTTTCGAGAAGGTTGCGTTCGATCCCGCTGATGAAAAAAATAGAGTGAGGAGAGTTAAAAAAACATGTAGATGATGATGATGAT